ATATATATATATATATATATATATATATATATATATATAATTGCAAAGAAATTATATTATTTTTATATACATTTACAATGTTTCAATAGATATAATAAAAATATTATAGTTTAATTCAAAAATAATGTTATTGGTATATAATTTAATTTTTTATAGTTAGTTAGTTGTATTGTATTTTTTTTTTATCGGGTAAACTTCTTTTTTTTTAATGTACCAAAAATATTATAATAATTATTAAAAATATTACAATTGAAGAGAAGGCACTGATAATTCGATCTACTATCAATCACATCAATGTTTAATAGTTGTAATTTAATAGATTAATGTTTCGAATCCTTATATAAGTGAAAGTAGATTGATCAATCGTGGTTTGTCCCAAAGGCGTACGGACAAAGCTAACAAGCCAACATGAATGGTTGAGAATTCTCATAGCACGATTTCTACGAAACACTTTCCTCTCACTACTTATCGCAACATGGATCAGATAGAACACATTACACTCACCGGAAAGCACCAAATAGAGGTCGCATCATATCAACCCAAAAATAATCATGAGTTCAAAATTTAAATTATATTTGAGAGCACATTTTTTTTATTTTTAATAAATATTATTCGTGAAATTATATTTCAAAAAGTCTACTGAATAATTTTATAATATTTTTTTTCTAATATTTTAAATTTTTTTAATTTAAAAAACAATTTATTTTTACTTTAATTAAAAAAATGTATGTATGTAATCTTATAAAATTTTTTGTATGGCTTAAATATATAATAAATAAATATAATCATATAAATAAAAATTCATCTTATAGAAGAGAGATTTAAAAAAATAAAATTAAAATTAAAGCAAATAATTATCGTCGATTCCAAATTCGATCCAATCGAAACTGGCTCCGGATCTCGGGTGAGGACTGCTCGGCTTCCGAACGCACGTCGCTTTCCGCTGCGTCACACTCCGAACGGAACGAGGTTTGAATTGTGTTCTAGATGAACATGGGTGCCTCGAGGTGATTGGAAGACAAACTGCGTGTGAGGACTGCTCGGCTTCCGAACGCACGTCGCTTTCCGCTGCGTCACACTTCCGAACGCACGTCGCTTTCTGCGTCAGCTTCGCTTCCGTGCGCGTTGACTTGCTGACGAGTACTAATGCCCTGCGAAGAACGGCACGATAAGTTTCGTACCAGCGCATGGACTACGAGGATTGGTCGACAAATATTCTACTCGAATTCATCGTCAGGTGCAGCAAGTATACAAATATAACATAAAAAATGTGTGTAGTTTTTATAAGCAAAATGTACGAACGAAACAAAAGCATGGATCATTTTTTAGTCCATCCAGAGAGAGAGAGAGAGAGAGAGAGAGAGAGAAAAGTCCACCGGAGCGAAAGAGAACATTCGAAACAGGGACAACCAGAGTAATTAGTGCCAAGAGCAGGAAGATCTTTTCTTGAAAGAATTTTATCATGGTCGTCATCAGCTAAGTGTTTTGGAAAAAGCCGAGCAAGTTTTTGCTTCCTGACACATGAAGGATTGGAGGCTCTGCAGTGGGAAGCTACAAACTTGGTGGGTGGAAGATGAATCGCTCCTTGGACACTCCGAAGTATGTTCAGACACACACTTCTGGTATGCCATTCTAAGACCAAGAACAGAAACATAGGAGGAAAAGAGAAGAGAAGGTGAGATCTATCGATCTGGCAGATCGGGGAATACACTTTTACGACTTCTGCAGTCTTGTGTTCTTCGTGGGTTGGCCACTTGCTGTGGGATCAAAGGGAAAGGTGGGATCTTGGAGGTTCTGTTCAAGGAGAAAGTTGGCATTACTCGCCAAAAGTTCGGCTTATTTTGGAAAGCGCTATAGATTTCTGGGGGTTTGGTACCGCCGCATGCGGCGAGAAAATTTGGTAAAGGTGCGATCTTGCTGAGTTTGTTCAACAAAAGTTGAGATTTTTGGGTAATAAGTCACCACACCGGGATGCTGACGTCCAGGAAGCTTTCGTTTTTTTCCGATTCAAGTTGGTAGATATGGATTTCGTTCGTTTCGAGTATCTAATTTTGGAGTCTGGGCGTACAAGTTTAGGGTTTCTCGCTCATTTTTCTATGTAAAGGAAAGGATTTCTGGTGTTTCGATGATCTGATCGATCTTTTTCGCTGTTTTTGGTCCTGTTTGTGGAGCAAGATATCTCGATGCGTTTCTTCCCGCATTTAATCTGGAAGATCTGGCTCTGGAGATTTTGCTGATTCTGAGATCTTGTGGAAGGAAGAAACTTTTGACTTGCTTGCCATAAGAGCCGCAGAGCGACAGCGACGCTGATTTCGTTGGAGGGAACTAAATCTTGGTGAAGATGTCTTCCTCCCCTCCGCCCTCTTCGTCGGCGATTCCCCCGTCCTCTTCAACTTCGACTCCACCACCACCATCTCCTCCTCCTGTTTCTAGCGCACCATCTCCATTCTCTCCTTCCTCACCACCAACTTCTCCACCATCAGTATCACCGCCACCATCGATCGCCAGTTCGCCTCCTCCTGTAACTACCCCCTCCCCGCCGCTGCCATCGTCATCTCCACCACCTTCTGCTTCTCCCCAACCACCAAGAGTGTCTCCTCCACCGGCTTCCAGTGCCACCTCTCCACCTGCTTCAGTACCATCAACACCTCCTACTGCTCCTACTGATCCTCCACCGTCTTCCGGCTCCCCGCCTCCTGCATCACTGGCTCCACCATCCGTGACACCACCTGCAGGTTCTTCTCCAATATCACCATCAGCTAAACCACCTAACAGTTCTCCTTCATCACCACCTCCATCAGCGTCGGTAGGCCCGCCTTCGGTGACACCATCTAAACATGCATCATCACCTGCTGAATCTCCTCCCCCTAACTTTTCTGGCGGTACGACTCCTAAGCTACCTGATCGTCCTCCGCCCTTAACCTCTTCCATTACTCCTCCAGGCAGTATACCTAGTCCAAGTAAACGAGGTCCCAACACACCATCGGTTCCTGGTTCAGATGCGGGACAGGGAGATGGTGGTCTGAAGACTGGACCTGCTGTGGCTATTGGATTGGTGGTGGCTCTCGTGGTACTTAGCATAGCAGGACTGGCTGTGTGCTTTCTGAGGAAGCGCAAGAATTCGGTTGCTGGATGTAATGCAGGGTTTGTCAGGCCTTCATCATTTACATCTTCAATAATGTCGGGTAATGCTTAGAGCCTCTTAAGATTTTATATTCTGATCATCTTATTGTTTGTTTTAACTCCAATTGTCATGTTGGTTTTGGAGTTTGAAAACTTTACTAATTGCCTTAAAATATATTCTTTGTTTTTGGGGTTTATGAAATTTATACCTTTGGAAGTTGCTAAAATTTCATGAATAAACCACCAAGGAACGCTGATGACATTTTGTCAATTTTCATGACCTTACTTAATTTTGCTTAACAGATTCACCACTTCCAATGTCCCCATCAGCTCCTTGTGTACATCTTCACAAGTCTGGTAGCATTGAGACGATCAACTCACCACCTGAAACAGCAATATCTAGTACAACACCATGGTTTTTGTACAAAGAGCTATACGATATAACCAATGGCTTTGCACCTCAAAATATACTAGGTGAGGGTGGGTTTGGTTCTGTTTTCAAAGGATGCTTAGCTGATGGAAGAGAAGTTGCTGTGAAGCAATTAAAAGTTGGAAGTGGACAGGGGGAGCATGAGTATAAAGCTGAAGTTGAGATCATCAGTCGTGTGCACCATCGCCATTTGGTTTCTCTTGTTGGGTACTGCATATCAGACAACCAGAGATTGCTTGTATATGATTATGTGCCTAATGGAACACTTGAATCTCATCTTCATGGTACAGCCGACGCTTGTCTATTCAAAGTACTATCATTGTTTATAATAAAAAGAATCAATCTAAATATGTTATACATTCATTTTGATACTAAATCTGCATTTTCAGGGAAAAGAAAGCCAGTAATGGATTGGGCCACCAGGGTAAAGGTTGCTGCTGGTGCAGCTCATGGCATCGCATACCTGCATGAGGATTGTAATAATATATATTGATACTTACCAGCAACATATTTATATCTATTTAACTTGTCAACTATATATTATTTAATGTTTGTTGTTGTGATTCTAACCAGGTCATCCCCGGATAATTCATAGAGATATAAAGTCTTCCAACATCTTGTTGGGCAATAATTTTGAAGCTCAGGTTATCCTCATTATAAGACATCTTGTTTGGAGTAAAAAAGGTCTCGATCCTTCTATTATAATTGTTAGTAGTGTCACTGCTAACTTGTTATTATGCACTAGGTTTCTGATTTTGGGCTTGCAAGGTTAGCTGTGGATGCTTGTACACATGTTTCTACTCGTGTAATAGGGACGTTTGGGTAGGTGAATCATGTCATTGCTGCAAACCTTTGACCATAAAGCTTTTGGAATTAATTGGTATCTTGCGGTTCTTTCATCTTTTGCCATAAACAGCCTGACATCATTTTGTACCTCAGATATTTGGATCCAGAGTATGCATCAAGTGGCAGGTTGACTGAAAAATCTGATGTTTTCTCTTTTGGGGTAGTGCTTTTGGAACTTATTACTGGACGAAAGCCTGTTGACAGTACAAGGCCTATGGGTGATGAAAGCCTTGTTGAGTGGGTAAGTCTTCAAACTTTCCATGTCCAATCTTTTTTTTCGTGTGTCATCATGTTATTGAAATAGCTTAAACATATATATCTTGTGACAGATTAATTGTCAACATTCATTAGAAATCTGATATGTATGTGCTAGTTGAAGTAATCATACACTTATTGCACGACTTTGGTTTCTGAGCTTATGTAGATTGTCAACATTCATTAGAAATCTGATATATAGGCAGCCAGAGTCCTAGTTTTTCTCACATTTACTGGATCATATTGAAGTATACAATAAACTAAAGAGTGGCTAATGCATGAGGTTTCTGCCTATGTAGGTCCGAAGAGGGCAAGTGCCATATTTCACAAAACATGCCATGACATTCTTTCAGATGTTAAGGTCCTAAAGATCACTTTATTCACTAAAGTCTTGCCTGTGATCCACACTGGGATACCCTTTTTCTTTGGGTACCTGTTTCATAGTTTTTGCTTTCATTATAAATATTTCATGGTATAGGTGCTTAACCTGATTCCCCTGTATACTAGAAGCTTCTGATTCAAAATTTAAGGCATCTTTTTGTCCTTAGTCCCACCAAAAAGTTTCCTGAAATTTGCATCCTGTTTATCTTATTTGAATTTCAAGTGCAAATTTTTAAATGTTGCCAGCAGGCAAAGGTTCCAACTTTGTAGTCTTCAACCTGTAGATTAAGCAGTTGCTCCATGCTTACAAACTTTGACACCTCAGGGATTAGTTAATGTTGAGTAATAACTATATTAAACTTTATGTAATATAAACTTTCAAAGGTTTGAATCTCTGGGCTTTGACTTGGTAGAGATTAGTCAATTATAGTGTATGTATCCTTCATGCGATGATGCTCATAGAAGAGGATGTCTGACAACATGTTATATGCTTGAGATCTGTTATTTAATTGTTAAGATCTACATCAGCCAAGAGGGATCCCTCCACTTTGAAACTAAAAATGGACCTTGATAGCATTATTTAATTATTTGTTAGTATTATATTATGCAAAATTAGTTTGAATCTGATTGACTATAATTACTAGTACAGCAAAGACTTGCACAAATGCCTGCCCTGAATCTCTAGTGCCAGAAAAAAGAATTCTGCTGGCAAGCAGAATTCCCCGGAGCATTGTTGTCATTGCTACTGTGGATTACATAGACTTTGTTACGTGATTCTCTAAGATATCTTTTCTTTTATCTTGGTTCCAAAATATAGTTATCTGCTTGGTGAACTGCTAATGAAATTGCAGGCACGACCATTGCTTTCCCGTGCACTCGAAACTGGAGAATTTGGGGAATTACCTGACCCTAGACTTGAAAAGAACTATAATGAAGCTGAAATGTTCCGAATGATTGAAGCAGCAGCAGCATGTACCCGTCATTCGGCAGCAATGAGGCCTCAAATGGGAAAGGTTATAATCAAACACACTAAACCAACATTTAGAAGGAATATATCACAACACTTGTTAAATCATTCTTGCTTCAGGTGGTCAGAGTTCTTGATTACCTTGCTGACATTGATCTTAGCAATGGTGTCATTCCGGGACAAAGCAAAGTGTTCCATGTAGCTCATTCAGCAGATGTCAGGATTTTTCAGCAATTGGTATTTGGCCGCCATGATTCGAGTTCTGAGTACAGCCAGTACAATTGGTGCTGTCAGACCGACATGTAAACAGGTCATGTATGGGCCTTGCCATTGTGTATACACTTTCTTTCTGTATAGCCATATTTCTGAATCCATATTGGACTTGAGTCCTTAATTCTTTCGAGACATTTGAAGTTTGGTTTACGTTTTCTTTCCTACCACTACAAACATACATAGGAAAACGATTAGGGTACACTGAAGTAGATTTCTATATGATGACAAATATTGACTGAGTTTAGAATAGCAAAATTATCAGCAGATTTAGGAGGCTGATCTGGTGTCGTTTGACTTAATACTGATTGACATAAAAGTGAGGGTCAAGTATTAATTATATTATTTGCGTAGAGTTCCTCCTAACATAACCAAAAAAAACCCACAAAATGAACAGATTCACTAAAAAATATTGCATCTAAGTAATTCTCTTTTCACCATATCCGAAGCAGCTTTCAGTTAGATTCCTTGGTCTTTCACATCTTACATTGAACCATTTCTCCTAAATAGCATTGCTTTTGTCATTGAACCATTTCACAGCTAAGTTGGGATGTTCCTGAAAGTGTACCGAACTAGTGTTTTTCTTTTTGTATGTAAATTATCATTTTGTCACAATTAGGTATCATTGAGTTGTTATTTTGTTCTTATTTCACATGAAAAGCAGCAAATCATGTTCCTTCATGTGAATGTTGATGCTTCTCATACCCAAATAATTGAAGACATGATGTGATGTGCTTGAGGCAAGAAGTGGTAGTTTCTGGAGTCAAGTTTGATTATGCTAGGGTTGCTGAAGAGGTTCAATTATCTTTCCATCCTGGTTCAAATCACTCTATTATGCTCATGCATCCTACTTGCAGTTGTTAGATAAATTGAATTCATATCAGTTGTTGGATTTAACTGCTTATTATCCCAAATTTAACTTCACAAAGTAAACAGATCAGGAAGCTACATGTTCGTCTATATAGTGAGAATTTAGACATCATGATATTATCATAGGGTCGGTATCAATATGAAACATCTTTTCCCAAGTGGATCTTTTTCATTGCTTCAGGTTGATGTTTCTAAATTTCTTCAGCTCATGCCAATGAATATCTTCAAGAGAAAGAAATGGACCAACCACTAAACTGTCTCCAGAGAACATCACTCAGAGTTCAACACACAAAATGCTGCTCTGTATTGTATGCTCCCTTGAGTTGGAACAACATATTGCTGTTCCAGATTCATTATAAGTTCTCAAAGATAGTTGGCATTCACCTCTTGCTTCCTTCTGTGAGATAAATGTTAGCCTTCAGGCTGAAGGCTAACATTTGTACCCTGCAGAACTGATTGCGGTTGGACCACTCATGGTAGAGTTTATCAAGGTAAGTTCAGTAGTAATGTATGAAATGCTTGCTGTAGAGGTGGTGTTTCTTCCCCCAAGCAGTTGACTCTGGTGCTGATATCTTTGGGAAAGAACAAAAAGGACACTATGCAAGCCCTTTGTCATGTGTTGTTTAATTTGTGGCATGTTGGGACTTGGGAACTGATGCTGGTAATTATCTAGTCTCAAAATACCAAGGACAAATTGAAACCAAAAATGACAGAGGTAGTATTCACTGTACTCTTTCAGATGTTCATAACTCCAGACTAAGGATGTTTGCAGTTCTGTTTCAGCTAACATTACATGGAGTTTACTGGTTCGAGCTACAGTCCCTGTCTCTGTGAGAAGATAAGATGGCATCGATTGCCTCCTTCACTTGAGCAGTATCAGGTGCTTTCCCTCCTTGTGCAGGCCAGAACTCATCGGTTGCCAAAACCTGCACAGCCATCAGAACACTTGTCATCCATCACTATGACCGAGAAAAAGCTCCAATTTGAAGTAAAGTGGATTACCTTCACTTGCAACTGAAGGAACTTCACATAGTTGATGGCCTTCTCAAGCATGGTAACCATGTCAACCTACAACATATCGGTCAACACGATTAGGATATGATCGGCAGAATCAAATGTGGCTAAGCTGTTTGATAAAATGCATGCCTTTGCTCCATTGGGCACAAGATCTTGGAGAGTTTTAAGGCGCTCGCTTATGCGCTCCCTCCGGTTCTGCAACAACGAAGGATCTGTCAGAAGAAGAAGAGGATTTTAATTGGGGGTCTCAAGAGATCTAAAGTTAGCTGTGCACACCTTTGCTGCAAGAGTCTGGGGATCCTTGGATGGACTCGACTTCTCCTTGATCGTTCGAGCGTTACCGCATCGCTTCTTCGGACTTGGCACATCACCTTCCTGCGTTATTGGCATCGACCGACTTCTCTTTTGGATTTCAACCTCTCTCACAGGGCTGCCTAAAGAACCGTAGGCACTCATCATATCCGAGTAGATTCGGCCGTCAGCCAGCCATGAGTCAGCGATTCCGGTACACGTCACGCCGTCACCTTGCTCGAAGTCCAGCAACGAGGAGTTGGAGCCGCACCAGCCGCCGGGGATTCCCCTGAAGTCGACGACGGACCGCGCTTCTTCCAAAGAACAAGGATTCGCCACGCCCAACGCGTGACTGCTACTAAATGAGTAGATAGGATCTCCTTCAAATAGCTCGTTCAGAGAAAGCTGGGGAGAAGCTGCCCATCCCCCATGGATTAATGCATGGGACGACGACCAGCCTTGTGGGATCCGACCATTGGCGAGGGCCATGCAAACCAGAAGACCTACGTGCGCAAGCAAGAGCAAGTGACCACAGAATCCTTGCGGGAGGTGGAGGTGGTGTTCTTAAAGCATGCAATGGCCCAGCACGTTCCGCTACCCTCCTTTATAAGCAAAGATCCAAGTGGGGGGGAGTGCATTAAATTCTAGGTGATTATTGTGAGGTGTTTCGAAGCACTTCCAAGCTTTTGTTCTGCAAATGGCGCTGTTAACTGATCTGGTCACATGGAAGCATGGAGGAGAGGAGGAGTGGAAAATGCATCTCAAGAATCGCCGCAGATCTCGCACTCGCACGCCTTGGATTCCTGTACTATCGCTGATAGAGATCACCACCTCATCATAGCAGGAGTTGAATTCTGGACGAGGCAGCGAAGGAGCTTTAAATGCCAGCGTTCTTAATTGGCTCATCGCTTCAATTATATGAAAGAAGAGTTCAAGGTGCACGCTTCTGAATAAACTATCTCTCTCTCTCTCTCTCGCATTAGGTTTAATCTATAGCTTTCCTTGGGTAGGTCTTCTAATTCCTCAACCTACACACACAGCCTAGTTTCTAAGCATATCTGATGAGTCACATCCTAAGTTGAAACAACTGATCACAATAATCCCAATGTATGAGAAGGTGGAGAGATTTATCACCCACTTCCAAGTCCCAAAGCATTCTAAATTAAATAGTAGTTATCATCATCATCTCTGAGTATTGAATTGGTTCAGACTCATGGATTCTGCAGGAATGAGGATCCAAGGCAAATCAAGATCAAGATCACATAGCATCTCCATTGTTTACCAGGTAAACTGTTTGAAGAATTGTCAGATACTTGCATTTATGGAGGTTTTAACAAAGTCAACCTGTAATTGCTGCCTCAATTAAATGCATGTTAGAAAACCAAGCAGCTAATATACCAAATTATTGGGGGAAAAAATGGCTGACTTTGGTAGAACAAAGATTTTATAGTTGTATGACTACTTTTTAAACATTATCAGCAACTGTAAGATCTAAAGCATTTAATGAATCCAAGAGAGTAGACATTCCAAGCACCTCACATTAGCCATGTGGAGTACTTGTTTAAGTTGGAGAGCTTTTCCTTACAATTATGGCCCCTTGTCATTATTGGAGTGTTCTATTAATCCTTTATTTTATTTTGTTGTTGCCTAACTTCATGATATAATAATCTGACAAGACAATTGCTCATTGAACTCATTAATCATACACCAGCCTGGAAGATAGAACACTTCGCTTCTTGTATTAGATGTTGGTGAGATTAAATTTGTAACATCTTATTTTTATTTTCGTTCATATTCTGTATATGTCTGAATCGAATAGGATGTTTTTTTTTTACTTATACTGTTAATTATAACATAGTGAAAAATAAGTAAATTTGAAAGATATTAACTTGATAAACAAAAGAACAAAATTTTTCCTATACAAATTGATGTTTGACATCGATACTTATACTATAAATGTATACTTTCAACTCAGATACATATTTTCTATTCAAACATATATACAAAAGGAGATGCTCATAAGTCGTCATCTATATCTACTTTGGCATGGGTTTATACCAGTTTACCTCTTTGTTTATCATATGGATAGATAAACAGTGACTTTACCTGCAAAACAAGATCTATGATAAATAATAACTTAATAAACATAAGCATTTATAATTTCATTGACATAAACATGTATCATGTCATATATAAAATCTTTTAAAATCAAATGCATTAAATGTTTCACTGCAAATTCACCTTTAAATAGCCACTTTTGTAATCTCATAGCATATATGATGTATAATCAAGAGGTAAAACTTTGATTCATAGTAAATCATAATACATTTATGTGGTCGTAGAAATTGCAATATAGAATCATAATACATCCATGATCTCCCATATTATGTATCATCACATATACATATGTGTTTTTCATACTTCGTATTAAATATACCAATGCATAGATACTTCATAACAATTGTCAATCGAAATATGCATAATAAAGAGATAAAATTCTGATTTAATCAGATGTGCAAGAATAATTTATAATATATGCCATAGGAAATTATAGTACATCAATGAACTTCCCCATTACATTTCATCGTAGATATGTGCATTCCTACATGGTGTATATCTACAAGGGTTGCATACTATGCATGAGAACATGGATCCAGAGATCAAACAACCGGTCTTTCAAATGCCATGCATTTGATGGCACATCAACTGGCAAATAGTTCTTGGAAATTGGTCCTGTTATCTGTTTCTCGAGGGTTGATTTGTTCTCACACTCTAATAAAGTGTAACACATAGTGACAGGAATAGTTTAAGAAGGTTAAAGAACAAAGGTAGAATAGTATTACTGTACTCGTGATTTCTGATGGTTATCAGCATTGTCACAACCATTTGGTTGGATAAGGCAACCATTATCTCTATAATCATCATCTTCTTTTGAAAGTCTACATGTTTATGTATGTATGTTCACAGATAATAAATGTTGTAGCTTCTTTGGTTGTTTGATCGAATCACATACAAATTGGCAAAGATGATGGATTATTGTTGAATAGAAGATAAAAAGAATTATTGAAGAAGCTCGAGGGAAGATTTCTATCAACAAAATAGAGGATTTTCCTCGATATAAAGATTTCCTCGAAGGAAATCTTATCTGCTATCAATTATTATGTGCATAATCTTATCTGCTATCAATTATTATGTGCATAATTTTATCATATAGTTGAAAAAATCTTATTTGCTATCAATTGTTAAGTGCAGAATCTTATCAGCACTATACACTGACTGTATTAAGGGAAAGAAGCTCAATTTACTCTTCACATCTCAGCCAGACATGTCGAACTAAACATAAATAGTTGTATGAAGTTGATGAAATCGTCATTTTTATTGCAACAACAGACTGAAACTTTAACCTTCAATCTATGTCTCAACTAACACAACTGTCGAATCATCCACACACAACTGTCGACACTTCACCAGTCACCCGATACCATCAATGGCCTGGACTGGCATGATCATGCTATCTTCTTTCTCCTCGACCGGATTCACTCAATCTTCCAAACTAATCAGAACAAAGAACAACACAAAAGACCAAACAAAAGAAAGCAGACAATCATTTTGAATGGACTCCAGAAGGACGACCTCCGACGGGCAGCTCTTTTGGTGTGCACAGGACAGCCCTCTGCTGCAAATGCCTCAAGCTCTGCTCCATGCTAATCTGAACCATCTCAGCCAACATCTTCTTTGCCTTTCCAGCCCGATCATCGCCATCGATCCTGGAAACAATATCGCTAACGATGTTCTGAAAAGCATCTGCCTGTATGCCTGATCTCTGTTGCGAAGTGCTCCGTAGCAGATCAAGAAGTTGATGAGCTTTTGCTTGAGATGTTGGTGTGCCCTGAATGGTGAGTTCAAGAAGACCAGGAATAGCACCTTCTTTGAGGATAATGTCTCTGTATCTGGAATAATCACTCTCGCACATTGTTAGAAGGGCTCCCACAGCGTGCTCCCTACTAGAAGGAGCCCCTCCCTCGAGTACTTCTACCACTGTCAGCACTCCACCTTCCTCGAATGTCAAAGCGGCTCTTCCTTCCTCGAAGCCCATCAGTAACTCAAGAAGGGCACAACACTTCTCATGAGTTCTGGATGACTTCTTGCAGCTCCTCAGCAACTTGATAACAGCAGGTATTGGTTGGAGAGAAATGAGAGTGTTCAAGTTGTTTGGAATTGTAGAGAGATTATACAGAGCCATCATAGCATCGATCCTGGCTTGTCGGTTTCCATCTTTCAGGATTTTGACGAGGAGAGGGATGGCACCAGAGGCACTGATCTTAGGCTTGTTGACACAAGTGGCGGAAAGGGTCAGAACAGATGCAGTAGCATACTCTTGTAAGCAAGAATTTGTTGATTCCAGGAAATAAATGAGTGGCTCGAGTGCTCCAGCATCGACAATCTTGATTTTATTTCTGTCCTCCAAATTAGAAATATATTCAGCAAAACTTCCATACGATGATAGCATAAATGCATCAACAATCAGCAATCACTCCGTTATACGAAGAAAACTCCTAATAGGAAGAAATTACCGGATCTATGCAACAATCAGTAATCACAGCCTACAAAAGAAACTACCATTGTTTTTCATTGAATATGCATGCTTTTCGAAGTCTATGCAGATCCAAAGTACAATATCCAATCTGATAAAAAGAATGAAACATTCCTAATTCGACTAAAGACGAAATCAAGAAGAAACAAATGACAGAAGCAGGATTGGAAAAGAACTGATCAGCCACTCGGTCGCAAATAGGATCTACCATTAGTCTGATAGACTGCCAATGAAAGAAATAAATGAAGAGTATTACGTACATCCAGTAATCCTCATATGGACTAATAATTACTCGATTAGTTTGTCGAGTTACACCGAAAGAGAACATATCATAAAAAATCCTTCGGCCTTTCACTTTAAGAGAGAAAAGGTTGATTAACTTGTACATTAAAGAGGAGAGTACTGTGACACAAACACATAGCATATCTTCTCTCTCTCTCTCTCTCTCAATCAATCACAAGGAAGTGAAATCAATTAGAAACCAAAAGAAAATTCATGCGGGAAAAGGTGTTGCACGCAAAAAATGCAATCTTTATGATCCGTGAGAAGCAAAGATCGTACCTTTCGTCCCTGACGGCAAGATTGAGGAGTCCGAGCATGGCGGCCTCGCCAGACTCGGGGCTTCCATACCTAAGCATCGAAACGAGGGGCTCAATTGACTCGGAGAGATACCGCCGGTGCTTCGCAGACGTCTTCGTCAGCCGCCGGATCTCTCTAGCCCCCTGGATCCTGTCATCCTCGTCCTCCGACCGGATCCGCTCCATGATTCCCTGCACCAACACCGCGACCCTGCCTCCTCCGCTCAAATCGCTCGAGTCCTCGCTGGGGATCTGAATCTCGGACGACGCCATCGCAGTCCCCTCCGGCTCCCTCCTTCCCTCCCTCTACCTGAGCGGTGAGAAGAAGAACAGCGAGCTGGGGAGCTTTTAAAGGACGTAACGGCGGGGCGCGACGGCAACAACATAACGTTATCGTGACGTTAACTATACTTAAGGACGTATTACACCAAGTGTCGGTGGCAGGCCGTTGAGTTAGGCCAGCGACTAGTGGGTCCCTTAGAAGCCGTAGGACCGGAATCAGACGGTCAATCTCTCTCCCCGTATCTTGATGGGGGACGGTCTACCGGATTCGGATCCAACACGTCATCCAAATCCCGTGGTCTCGCGGGCAGCCGTACGTAAGACACTTAAAAATGTGGGGGCCACATTAATATCATGAGGACCAATGTACCACCGCAATGGCATAAACCAAAACAAATCAACAATTTCTTCTAGAGTTTTCCATCAAAATCATTTAATTACAATTTTCTTGGGCGAACCCATCTAAAACGGACGTTAAAAGGGCATCCAAGGAAGCCTTGCCTTTGCGTCCAACAGTCGAACAATGCATGTTCCGCGCACACACATATAATATCATGTTTGCTTGGCACCTAAATATGCTCCCCCGCTTCGTCATCATCATCATCATCATCGGCACGTGGGCGACCATTTCCGACCCAATGTGGTGATCTCAATCGCTGGGCTCCACTTGCGACTGGTTTGGGTCCGGTTTGGATGATGGGACGCACATGGATCCACATCAGGTGGGACCATCATGAGGGAGCTAATCATTCACTTTAATTGGTCTACGTTCAATTGATCAACATTTCTTCGTGCACAACAGTGAGCTGCATACTCCAAGAATGAACCTTGGTCAGCTTCTCCTAATTGGTTGCCTGTGTCAATGGCATAGTCACATGGTTTCAGCAGCAACCCACCTTATCACAACTGTACTGCTCATGAGCCGGACTAAGAACAGCATCAGTTCTCTCTCGATAAACTTAAGAGAGAGAGGTTGTCGTCAAGGTAAGAACAGCATCGGTTCTGTTTGGGTGTCTTCCTCGTTGAGCATTGAAAGGACAAGTACGTACAGAGCCTTGAGGGGATGAACTCCTGCTTTGCATAAGCCAGTTTGGATATGGTGGGTTGCCTAACCCTCTACAATCTTAAATATCATGCCGCAGGGTTTTCTGCTGCACTTTGGATAACGTGTGCATGTCTCCAAACCAGAGAACCAAGTCCAAGAGAGCACCGTGAAGACAACGCAAACTTGGATGTTCAACACCTTCATGCATGCATGATGTGCATTATTTTCGGGACTATGTCACGCAACAATGATATCTCCCGACATGATCATATGACTTGACGTCTCCTTGAATCCGCAGGGGTCTTTTGGGGCATTTAGAATCAAGCCTCATCACATTCTGTTGGACTAATGATTGAGATCTTGTTCCTCCGAGACAATGGCAATGCAGATGACAGAGGAAGAGGAGGAAATGGGAAGAGAGGTGGATATAGTGGCATTATGGTACATAAAATCGAGTGTCAATCGGCAGTTCGGATGCCGATGGGGAGCCTGCAGTATTTGCAGAAACCTGCTCGACCATTTGACTCATAAATTGATCCTGGCAATCAGCCTGAAGAGCAGATTCAAAGGATGCATTCCACACTCTCTTCGATCAAATCTATTGATTTAAATAGCAGATTAGAATGTTTCAAGCAAACGATCAAAGGTCAAGAATTCCTCGTCAACATAGCAAACTTTATTCGATATCATGACCTGGAATTGGTCCGTTCAAACTCTTGACTTTGGAACAGTACCACCATATAATTAGCTGCAGTCGGGGTGAAGACATGCCATCTTCCAAGTACACAATGAAGAAGACCAATTCATCAGGCTATCTCCTTCTGTTGGTCTTCTTGGTGCTTATGGCTGTTAGAACTCTTTCCATTCGATATCCTGCACAGGCCTTCCTGGAGGAGAGTGTTTACAAAGGTGAGTTTTTGCAATTTTCTAGTTTGCAGCGTATGTTGTGTTCATTTTTACCTTCATTTCAGGGAGGACCGACGCTATCTCCAACAAAAATGCCGTCGTATTAAGAGGTGGGGGGGTTTCTCCCCCTTCTCCGGCTCATAATATCCAGAGAGGGCCACAGACTCCTGCACCGTGAACTGAGCTCCTTGTATTCTCTGTTCTTCATTCTGCATGATGTTTGCAAACTATGTCATATAAATCTGTGTATAAGACTCTCTGTAATGTCTCAACGTGTTGTTATGAAATTTGCGATAGCCATAATCATGTTCATGAGCAGCATACTTGTGATGCTATTTGCGTTACTGCTTATTACGATTATTTCGATCACAGCGGCAGATAAGTACAAAAGTCATGTCGTTTAAGAACTCATATGAGAGAGATTATATGTAATGTGTACATGGCAGACATCATCTTTGTGTTGATCTCAGCCCCAACCAGAGGTGTGACATGACTGATGGGAGAAGAAGAAACGCCTTCATTCTGCAGCTACTGCATCATATGCTCGAGCGCTTTCCACAGGACATCTCTGAACCTGCTGACATCGAGCTTCACATTCTGGTTCTTCATGAACGTAGACCTCACGACATGAAACCCACGTTTGTGGAAGGACATGGGATCCGTGAACGCAGGGTGGTCTTTCGGGTACTGCTCCGAAAGAGTACTCTCTTCTATGGATATACTGTACTGTACGTAGTTGAGACCCATCTCCTTGGCAGGGTTCCCGAAATCTAGCACGGCAATCCATTCCAATCCACCCCATGGAACTATCTGTATCACCGTGGCATTCAGCGGCAGGAACACAAAGTTGGTGAGTCCTGCGCCGTGCACCCCCATCATCACGTCGCAGGAGTTCACGATCTGCGCGAACCGAGCTAAGTTGGTCCCCGCATCAGCTTCGCCGACCACCACCTCGTACCCCAACTCCTCCGCCGCTGCCACTATCTCGTCGACGTTTGTGAAGGCTCGCGATCGCTTCCTCGCGATGATCAGCAGCCTCGGCTTCCTGGCGGAGAGATCCTCGATGCAGTTCAATGTCTCTCGGCCAACAGAGAAGACGCGCCTCATGAATTTGGTGAAGTCGATCATGGTATAGCCATTAGGGGCTCTGGCAGGGTCGATGTGGAACTCCTTGTGGGCGCGTAGGCCAACGATTACCTGCTTGAAACAATGCACTTCGTCGTCCTTGTCGTGGTCGATCACCGGGTACTTGGATAGCCGCTGAAGCACGGGAAGGTACTTGGCGATCCACCATCTCTTGAAGTCGGTCACCACGAACCGGACCTCCCCATCAAATTGGCGTGCGGTCAGGAAGAGAGGAACTAGCAGGTCGGTGAAGTCATGGAAGAGGTTGCCGGTGTATCCCCCGACGGAGAAGACGATAGCCGGGACATCGTGGTGGAAGGTGCACTTGGGGGATTCACTGCTTGCTTTGACCGTAAGTTCCCTGACTCCGGCGAGACAGGCCTCGTCTCCCTTGCGAGGATAAGGATGAACTTGCCAAAGCTCTTTCGGCTCTGCGTTGGATGGTTCCATGAATATGACAGACGAAGAGTTCCCGGGAATCCTGATATCTCCATACATTTCACAGACATCCACTCGTTGGTCTGAAACATCACACAGTGGCTTCCTCTCTGGAATCTGAATTGTACCTGTTAGTTCATGGATGCTTGCTTCTTCCTTCGGAGTTGACTCAACAACAATGGCATTCTCTTCTCTCTGGAAACTCTTCTCTTTCTCAATGTTGCTCTCTGCTACATGTGGTACTTGTTTCTCTTCTTTCTCTACTTCACCTTCATCCCACGATTAGAGATTCGCAAGCTTTCATCAAATAGCTACGAAAATAAGGTAAGCAGAGGAACAAGTAGATTACCCAATGCCTGAGAATTTAGTGCATCTTCCTTTTCAGAAAGAGCTGAATGAATCCCCTGTATCCCATTATTATCGCCGTTCACCACATCGTCACCTAAAGGAAGAGATCGACAAAACCAAAATTTCCCAGTTTTCAGGCAATCAAAGCTAAGCGGAAGCTCAAAAGAGCATTCACAACACGCATCAAAGTTAAAAGGATCCGAGATTAGTAGCCTACCCGACTGCGGAGGTGGCAGCCATGTCCTAAAACCGGCTGCAAGCTCAAGAACAAGGATTTAGCCATGGAGCATAAACAAAAGAAAGAAATCGAAGTAGCTTACAGTTGTAATGAACAGGTGTTTGAGGTTTAGACGCCACCAAGAAGGCCATCGTGACTACGAAGCATCCAGCCATGAGCACCAGGAACCTGAATCTTCGCGCATGGTTGACATTCCGAACCAGCTTCAGTTTGGAACCCATCTTCACCTGCTGCGAAGAGAAGAAGAGAGATCAAGGGAAGTGCTCGTTAACATGCAGCTTCCTTCTCTTCTGCTAGTTTCAGGTGACGAGTTTGGTCGTTGCCTTCGTTCTGCCACCCTCATGGCACAAATTTGGACTCTGCCTCGGAAAAAGAGTCATTTATGAGGCAAGTCTAATGGGGTGATTCATTGAGTCGTATTAACAACCGAGTTATTCCTTTCTTCTTCCACATCTGGCTCAGCCTGCTACAGGAATGATGAATGGATAGCTGAATTCTGGTCCAGGGTAGCTGTAACTTTCTTTCTGAGGAAATCAAGAAAGCAAAAGAACAGTAGAAAAAGAGAGAGATTCATGAGACTCTTTTACCCCATTCAACTCATCACATGATTCACATACCTTCTGACGAGGGGTTAGAAGACAGAGGTCGAAATGTTCCAACCAAGGAAAAATTATTAGGAAAAAGAAGGCAACACAGAAGTTAGAATCTTCACAGCTTTTACTGGCATGCTCACCATCACAGGTTATGCAATAGAACAAGCAAATACTATTGAGATGCCCCTACCTACTTCTCAGTGCCTTGTTCTAGCTTTAATCCGACAGCATCACCATTTCACGTGAACCATGCATCGAGAAATAATCAATCCCTTCTGCACTGTCTCTGTTATCTATATGTACAAACACCTGTGTTGAACGGATAAAACAAATAGAATTTGTTTCATCTATTTGAAGAGCTCTCTGCTTCACGTATCTCTACCCAATGGGAGGAGCTGTTCTTCGTCGGGGAGAGAACAGAGACTCCGTATACATAGTTGAGTCTCGTGAGCTTGTCCTTACAGGTTGGATCATTCAGTCAAAGGTGAGGAGAATAACATGTATCAATTCTCAAGAGTCGGATGGCTTTCTAAAGAAATTAGCATAATACCTGTTGGATGGATTTCTGAAAGCCAATGCCACATTCTTCGGCGTTAATCTCGAAACCCCACTTCTGCAGAAGGAAGCAGCCATCATTCGACATCGAAGTGCACAGGCCACGGCTGACGAAAAGGTCTGAAGGGCATGCTGAGCTGAATCTTTTAAGAAAAAGCTATCCAAAGGTGCCATCGAACATCTGAGAGCCACTAAATCTTGTCGAGTGGATGCCCGGGGATTTTTAGATTATGAATTGAAACGAGGAGCATGAAACAGAGAGAATACAAGTCATACTAATGCATGTTTACTCGATCTCCAGGAAAAACTCGCTGAGAAGATCGATCAGATCATGGCAAATAACATCCCATGCCACATAGCAAAACTCCATCCGCATTCACTTGTCCATGAACAGGGAAACCTTTAAATCGGGCCAAATCATGGTAGTGCGACTTGTTTGGGTTCCTACCACTTGTCTATTGTGAACTCCAGAGGTTGGAGTTTGCTGCTACTAGAGCTGCAGGTAAGCAAATTCTGAAGGTATAAGGTGGTGTTCTGCAACAACTCTCTCTCTCTCTCTCTCTCGCTAAGCTATGTCATATTTAGTATATACAAGTAGAACCTACAGCCAAGATGAATGACACTGTACAAGACGAGCACTTCAACAAAACCAACTGCAGCTATGCAAAACTGTTGAGGCTTTATTTGGAGAAAAATTATGGGATTAGCAACCCATTTATTCTATATGAGATGCTTCCTGGATGATAAAATCCCATATTTCTTTTGTAAGTTTGATTTCCACAAATAGATTACATGGTTAAATGTTCATGAAAGTGTTCCATTCCTAAATCTTTGGGAAGACAAATTAAATAAAGTACATCTAACCAAAAAACCATGTTTTGATGCAACTCCAAACAAAGTAAAAGATTACAGAAAACATATTCATTTATCCTGTGATTAATGAAGGGGTTTCATGCATGTTTAATCATCCAAGAAAACTTGTTCTAGAGCAAGAGCAATCGGTTGGGCAATCACTGGCATTTATATATTCTTTTTTTTCTGTGAAAATACTGAAGAAACTTCATGTTTATGTAAATATATAAAGAAAAATACAAAGTTCACAAATTAATTAATCAAGGCAAAGAGAGCCTCGAACCGATTCATCTATCTACTCTTGACGAAGAAGCTCAAGGGCATGTAGTAAGGTACTGCTGAACCTCCCCATATCAAGCTTCACTCCTTGTTTGGCAAAGTATAAGTCGATCATTCGATCCCACCCATGTTTCTTGTAAGCTTCCTTCTGATCAGAAAGCACCGGATCGCCTCTAGCAAACTGCTCTGTCAGTGTGCTCTCGTCTAGACTTATAGTATACTGCATATAATGCATCTTCATGCTTATGGTAGCCAGTCCAAAGTCGATCCAACTTATGCCCTCCAATCCGCCCAAAGGAACAACTTGGATTACTACTGCATTGGTTGGAAGGAAGACAAGATTAGTTAGCCCAGCACCATGAACTCCCAGCATCACGTCGCACGAATTAACTATGTGTGCAAATTCAATCAAGTTAAGCTTTGCCTCTGCAACAACAGCTTCGAAGCCCATCTCTTCCGCATTTCTGACTATTTCATCAACATTAGCAAATCTCCTCGTCCACTTCCTTGCAATAATTAGAATTCTAGGCTTCTTACCTTGATCTGGTCCTAGTTTAATTGTCATGTCCCTCTCCAGTGCAAAAGACTTCCTGATAAATCGTCCGAAATCAACCATTGTAAGACCATAAGGCGATTTTGAGGGGTCAATGCTCATCTCCTTGTGAAACTTAAGACCCACGATAACATGAGGATAGCATCGAACTACCTGGTCCTGGTTAAAGTCAATTATTTCATAATTAGTGAGAGATTTGAGTATCTTTTGGTACTTCTCATTCCACCATGGAAGAATCTCACTTATCAGAAACTGAACTTCTCCGTTGAATTGTTGTGATGTTGTAAAGATAGTGATAAGTATATCAGTGAAGTCATGGAAGAAGTTCCCCATGTAACCACCAGTTGAGAAGACTATTGCTGGAACTGAGCTATGCACAGCACATTTAGGAGCATCACGAGTAGACAAAGTTTTCACTGACACTTCCGTGACACGAGCCATAGCTCTGGCATCTCCCTTTCGAGGATGAGGCTTTAACTTCCATGATTCTTGTAATTTTGTAGCATTCACATTTGAGGAAGCAACAAAGAAGATGGAGGAAGAGTTTCCATGGATCCTAATGTCACCCTCCATCTCACAGTAGTCATTTCTTCTGTTTGAAAAATCACAGAAAGGATTGCTTGGTAGTTTCTCCTTTTGGTAGCTCACATCTGCACAAAAATGATAAGATTTTAAATTTTAATGAAACATGCTTAACCTCAGTTTCTATTTTTCAGGTTCCAATATAATGATGACTGTTTAGAATTGAAACATAACCTATATTTAGGGAATAGCCAATTTAGCTTTATGAAAAGAAGCATAATGCCTTACAATTACAAAAATAAAATTCTTAGAGAAAAATAAAAAATAATAAAAAACTAATATTAATAGAATTAACATGCGTATAACAAATTTTAAAAAAAGGAACAACAATGACCACCAGCAATAGGATTTTCATCATTATCCAGGAAATAGTGTAGAGTAAAGCAGTCAACATAAAATATCAAGTGTCTGTGTCCTGAGGTATGTATCACATAAGTGCAATGATTATTAAAATGAACCCTTAGATAAAAGATGTCCTTGCTTGTTCGATGTATAGTTAACCAAAAATTTGCGACAGAAGAGTTGTGGATATGGAAACACTCCTCTCTTTTTGTTGCCAATTGGTTAGATAAATGCTATAATTTGTCCCTTTATTATTACATTTCTGTTTCTTGTTCATCTATGAACAACTTAAGCTAGGAGGCCCAAAATAAGTATTTATAAATCCAAGATACAGAGTGAACCTTTGATCCTAAGACATTTAAGCTAATGCTCATTAAATGATGGTGATTCTGACTATTCAGCAAAGAATTAACAGGTTACTGATCCTCTCTCAATATGTTACTAATTCCAAGAATCTCAACCTGTGATCTCTTGTATCTAACCTGTGCTCTGTTCACTAAAATATCGGAATCATCGAGGACTCATGGTCCTCTCTTGTTCATCTCCCTTTCTAATATGCTTGAACTTTAGAAATCATGAAGAACAAATGGAAATGAGCCTAATATCAGACTGGGTTGCTGCTGCTTGACTCCAGCTTCTTGTCAGTGCATTCAGATAGAAAGGAAGAACGGGATCTTCAGAAATTAAAAGAAACAAAATAAACACAAGCAGGCAAGTTGTTCATCTCAGAGAAAGAGATCTTCGTTTTCTATGTCAGATACTCTCCTTTCTCCTCCGTTTCTCTTTCTTGTCTTACTTTAAGAAAAATTTCCTCTCTAATCTCGCTCTTTCTTCCTTTGCTTCTTCTCATCTGACGCCATCTTGGGGTATTCTTCTACCTTCCGATCCTTATTATTGAATTGCTTGGAGGTGTCCACCAATTTCCCCCCTTTTCTAAGATGATTTTATTACAAGTAAATTCTTTAACCAATCGACTGGTAATTATGTGCATATATCAAATTGAAGGAATGGATTCATGAATCTGAACGCAAACAGGTCGTCTTGCCCCCTCTATAATCTATCACTATGTACGTAGATCCTCAGCTCGTATGTCTAGGAATGCTTCCTTCTTCCAGCACTCTTATGATGTCTTCAAAAACCATTCCAGAGTTAAGGAAATCTCAAAAAATGGGCTTTTACCTGCTTGATGAGTACTTGCGATCTTTGCTTCCGCCTTGGGAACAGGAGCAGCAGCTCGATTCGAACGCCAGAAACTCACTGCGGAACCAAATAAGACTGAGAAAGAGAACTCAACGACAAAACCACTGATACATCAGAAGTGCAGAGACCAAAGGAACTCACGGTTGGAGAAAGAAACAACGTAGCTGGTGTACACCACAAGAAGGATCATCGACAACAGGAAGCATCCCCCAAGCAGCACCGACCTAAGCTTCTGGGGTTCCACCCGGCTCGGATTCTTCTGCTTCGCCATCTCCGCAGTCTCTCTGGGCTTCAGATCCTGCAACTTGCCATCGTTTGGGGAAGATTGGAGTTGGAGAGGGAGTCAAATCGCTGCTCCTCAATAATGGAGCTCAAGGTTTCTTGTGCTTCCTGGCAACTCCTTAGATAATAGTTCTGACGCTGCAAGTATTAGTTTAGGACAACTTCTTCTAATAATGTTAATTTCGAGCTGATCAATTTGAAAGCGAGCCGAGCCAAAAGGTGGCGCCGAACCAAGTCACGTTACAATGGGAACCAGTGATCCGTCAATTTGGCTCCCAAAGACAGGAACAAATGTAGCTCCACGGCACGCATTTGGAATCTCGACGAGGACCAGGTCTGGATCCCACGTAGTTGTTGGTGGAATTTTATCACGCGCCCTTGTTAACAATCACAACGGTGCCACCTGTCATTTATGTTAGTAAGGTATTAGTGTTAGAATATATGACTGTATCTAATTACGTGAGATATATTATAATTTTAATTAGATTCTAATTTTGATTATTAAAAAATATTTAATTATGATAGATTTTTTAGAGATGATTTTGATGGAAAGGACTCACCTAATTATTTATTCTCGATCCTTTATTTTCATTTATAAATATAGAGAATCTTTTAGGGACTAAATACATGATATACATGTGGTTCTCCATGGTGATTCTACGAGAAGACGAGAAAAGAAGAGAAGGTAAATCTAATTTTTATTGTAGATAAGTATTATTGTAAGTTTGAATTGATAATAATACCTTAATAGATCAAATAAAATTTTATCTAAATGATATCAAAAAATAAGTATCGTAAATTTAATATATTATTATTTGATTTTAATTCTGATATTAAAAGTTTTATTATGATTTTTTATGATGGATTGATATTAAGACTGAGTGTTTTTAAATCAAAATACTTTAGATTTATTATTTTTTATGTACGATGCTCCTATGATTCTGATATTAAAGTTTGTTGTTGAGGATAGTATCATTTGAGGGTCGCGATCTCGATCGCTAGTCCTACGACAACGGCGGTGCTTGTGCAACATCGCTGCCAACTGCTGCAGCGCCGCGGCCGCTACGGCGGCATCTGCTGGCCGCGGGCGGCTGCGCCGAGAAGCGCGTGCGCACGGCGGCAGCAGCAGGCGGCCGCGCACCTCGGTGGCGGCGGCGGCGGCGGCCACGCACTGCGGTGGCCAAGCAAGCGGCGCCCGCGCACTGCGATGGCCACGCAGGCGGCGGCCATGCACGCGGCAACCGCGCGGCTCGTTGGCCGCGTATCGCAGCGGCCACGCAGGCGACGGCCGCTGGAATTAGGGATTCGATTTTCAAAGTTACAGTTTTACCCTTACATATCTCACTAATTTCGTTTCATAATTTT